CACTATGTGAAAGCACAGCAACAAACTTGGCGCAATACTTGCCAGGTCTGCGACAGCAGCACCACAAAAAGAAGTGAACAGCAGCCAGGACTCTCATTTACTGGGACAAACGACGATTGTGGAAACTCTGTCTTCCAAATTGGACCCCTCCTTTGTCAAGGTGGTGCGTTGTGCTCATTCTGGTCCGTTTGTGTTATAGGTGGGTAACGGTTGTTATTTCGTCGAGATGGAGGACATTGCACTGGACACAGCCATGGCACTGGATACAGCCATTGGCCAGCAGAAGTCGTGGTATGAGATGTCATTGGAAGGCATTAGTGACGAGGACAACGATGGACTGGATGGGATGTGTGCGCTCACAAGCCCAAGCCCAAGACCAGAAGAAGAGTCTCCTCCGTTGCTGCCGCCCGTGCGCAGTTCTGTTGATCATCCCCGGGAGCGCGAGTCGCGTTCTGCGACGTGTTCGCACACCGGACGTTGGCGAGCGCCAGGGGATGCAGCAACGACTGGGATCGCCAGTGCATCCACACCTCGACGGTCGCCGCCTGGCCAACAGAGCCCACCAACGCACCGAGAAGCACGCACTCACTCGCACGCCAGTCCGACCGTGCAGCAGCCGTACCCGAGCGCGGCCGGCAACCTCACTCCAAGCACGCACACACCGCCGCCACGCATGCGCTACTCGCCGTGCCTGACACACGCAGACCGCGCTCCTCCCTATCGGCCGTACAGCCCTGGGGAACGTGCGTGCAGGTCACAACGGAACACTGCTACTGACAGAGACAATGGAAGGTAGGGACACAGCACTCAGCAGCTACAGGTCTAAACTCATTAGAAGAAAACCCAGGGGGGGGGGGGGGGCAAAATTGTTGTCTTATAACGAGCATTATCTACTACAGTGGTCCCTCTCTAATCCGGCACTTTATAATCCAGCACCCTCGATAAACCAGCACAATTTTCAGTAGCCAAAATGTCCTCTTCATGCACATTGCAGCAGTAAATCAGATTTGTTAATCCAGCACCCTCCCTAATCCAGCAGATTTTCGTGGCACAAATGGTGCCGGATTATAGAGGGACCACTGTATCCCGTTTTACAAGTACATGTACATGTTTCAGGTGTCAGGACAGGGTATTTCGGATCGTTGTCTACGAATGAGGTTTGTCTTGTATCCGATGTCGTACTAACCACCAGGGTAGACCTGTATCATGTTCTACTTCAAGTAGTCATCTGGATTTTGATGTGCTTCAACTCTTTTCCGAGACACTTCAGTGTTGATGAAGGCACCTTGCCGAAACGTTGTAATACTGCGAAATGAGTTATAACAGGAATGGCACTTGTTTCCCTTCTACATGAAGCATCAGCACCAGAATAAAACATTGTAGAAACAGTGAGCCTAAGTTACTGCCATGCCATCACACATTTCTTTGTGCATACTCATGTGCAGTGTACATACAAGTATGCAAGTAGGTACAGTAACACTGTTGCTACCAGACTAAGTCAGCACACTCCGCAATATCATACACACAGTCTACCACAGGCCCCGGCATGCCTAGTACTGGACTGTGTGTGTGTGTGTGTGTGTGTGTGTGTGTGTGTGTGTGTGTGTGTGTGTGTGTCTGTGTCTGTGTTAGCCCCGACAGCCCCTGGTACGACGCACTAACGCGTAACGGTACAGTGCGCGGATGTGTTTGGTGACTTGACACTTTCACTCTTGTGTCTGTCTCCACTTCCTTAGAGACCATAACTACACAGAGAAGGCAATACCGAAGCGGTCGACAAGGCTGAGACGAGCAGTCTCTCTGACGCCCACCGCCAACAAAAGCAGTGTGGGGAACCCGCCAAGACAGCGCGCCAAGGACGGTAGAGCAGGAGTGAACAACGGGCGTAGCAGGAACAAGGAGAACCACCCACACACACCCCACGGCAGTAAGCCAACACCATCGCCGACAGCACGCCAGCGGCCGCCATTGACACCGAAAGAGAACCAACGGTCGCATCCGATGCCCGACAAGTGCTTGTCCGCGGAGCGCTTTGGGCGCATCTCGGGCACATGTTCATGGGCAAAGGTGGTGGCCACAAACGTTGATACTGACAAAGCAAAATGCACTGCAGTTACAGCGGCCACGCCAGCAGCAAGAAAGCCAGCCAAGGCGCACCTAGACTTCTCCAGCCAAACCGTGACCAAGGGCGCGCGTGAAACAACTCCGTTTAGCAAATCGAGAGGCAGACTGGCAAAGGAGAAAGAACAAGAGACACACACCCCGCAAGAGCACCATCAAATGAAGACTGACCGCCTTGTTGTACATGATGAGAAAAGCGCTGAGGCTGCCCACCAGCCAATCATCCCAGCTCAAGTGGATGGCATACAAATCAGCACGCAGACTGCCAGTGACAACATTGAGAAGCAGACGTGCATCGCCCAGAGGTAAGTCAACACGTACTTAAAGTAAAGTTTGTGCATAGTATATGTACCTGCTTTAATTAACAGCATATTACCAGGCGGTGGAACACCGTGTTCGGAAACAGTACCCCTTACTACAAGCATCCACGGTTGGTAGAGCCCCGGCGTTGCGACCATCTGAACTGTATGGGTGCTAGGCCCGGTTCTGACCCTCATTACACTAGGGGAGTATCTACTACCATACATGTACATGTACGCGTTATCACAGTTTCGCGTGCGCCGCCAGGCCACCAGCATGGCTGAGTAAAGCAGGGTGGCAGATCTAGCACCTGGCGGCAAGGGTGAAAAGGGTAGGCCACACAACCAATGCCCGACAAGGGGCGAATATAGTTACATACTTCGAAGTACAGTAAAACCTGTAACTAAAGACCACCGTGACTAGCGACCAGCCTGGTACTACAGACCACTTCGCCAGACACGGACGGTCTCACATTCATATAACGGTTGCGCGGTGCTAACCTCTAACTAAGGATCACCTGCCATTAAAGACCGCTTTCTCTGTCCCCAAGGGGCACTATTCAAGAGAGGGCATTATTTTCCACTGGCTCTTGGAGACTAGAGCACTATTCGAGATAGGGCACTATTTAAGAGAGGGCTCTAATCGCGCGAGTACGGTACTGCCGTAAAAGCCTATATGAGCGCCCATCCAGTATAACAACCACTATCTGTGTAAGCGCCCAGCTGCTGGGTGTCAACATTCTTGTCACGTTTTCTAGCCCACCCTCTGTGCGAACGCCCCCATGGGCGACAGCACAAGCCCAGTGCACAGTGCACTGTGCAGGCACAGGTCCACATGCGTGGACGATGCGGTAGTGCAGTGTACGTGGTACAGTGCCCATTATGATACATTGGTGACTTCTGATGCCATCTCTCTCTCTTACGGCTGTTTGCTTCTTGATATGTATCTGTACTCGCACGCTGAACAGGTATAATATATGTGCTTCTGGGATAGTTACCCTTAACTAGTCCATAGTGGTTGATGAATATGTTGATGCGAGAATTAGTCTGTTTATGTTCATGAAATAATGCCTGGGCCCACATTAACTAGACCGTTACTAAATTTTCCGTCCAGGGCCTTATTATGGGCGTTCACTGCACTCTAGAGGGCCCTCTATAACGCCAAACCAGTTATTTGACCACCTTGGATAGACATGTACAGTACCTCAGCCATGAAGTACAGATTTGTACGGCCCTAAGAGGTACGTTACTACGTTCTCACTGTACAGTGTACACTCATATACACATAATAAGCCCACAGTTCCCCCCCCCCCCCCCCCCCTCCGTCTGTTTGCAACAGAACGGCACGGGGCGGCACGGCCAACGCAGGAGGAGCCTCTCGCGATGCCGCAGGCGGCGCGCCGGAGATCAGCGCGGCCGGTGATCACGCAGGGCTGCTAAACGACGGCACACTAAGCCTAGGGCCACTCGTGCCCGGCGATATTTGCTTGCCTGCCCTGCACCAGCACACATATGACAGTTCAGACTGGGAAGATGGGCAAGTGCAACACAACATCCCTCAGTTTTGCTCAACGCCCACGGAGAAGGAAACAAGTGGTGGACCGACGCAACAAAGACCAGGCACTCCTATATCCTTGGATAGAGAACTGAACAAGGAGGAGGTGATGTTGGACACTATCTCCCCTGTAATCAACCAAGGCAAGGAGCAGAGTGACAGTTCCCTGGATGCGGTGTTCAACAGTCTGCACCCAATCCCCTCGCCTTGTCGCACCGAACGGACCGAACAGCCAGCAGCTGCGCAAAGCAAACCGACGCGGCTCGCATCCCCACAGGACGTCGTTGCGCAGACACAACCATCCCAAGACACAACGCACGATTGCACTGTACCAGCAGGCACTGTCAGCAATGCCACTGGACTAAAGAAAGGACAGCACATTCATACACATCCACATGCCCAAGCAACCTCAGACGCTGGACGCAGTGACGAACCGAGCAAAGACGACCCCCAGCCGGGCACAACGATCACCACTGAACACCGAGACACGCCAATGGATTTAGAAAAGCCGGGTGACGATATTGGACAGGGCATGGATAATGCTACTGCTGCTACTGCTACTGCGGGCGACGCAATGTCCAGCCATACATTGATAGAGGAAACTGACAGGTGAGTGTGTTAGGCAATAGAAACTATACTGCCTTGTCCATCACAACAAAACCTGGATCCGAAACATTATAATTTAATATTTCGGTTCCATAAAAAATGTTAAAAAGACCTTTCTCAGGACATTGACATTGTCAGTGGTCTGTCCCAGCTTCCAAATATACGCATGTCCGTGAATACTCGTCTGTCAGAAGTTTTGCAGTCAACAGGTCTTTGATTGTGTGATGGGGGGATGGCTCTGAAATACTCGTAGATGGCTGTGGTCGAGTTTGCGAGCCCTGCTCCGGGGTCACTACGGGCGAGAATAGGTACATCCCACACAATTCACTCTGTCATTACTAAGAGCGTGTACAAAGCATGTAGCCCCCCCCCCCCCCCCCCCCCAATGCCCCAATGCGGGCTACTCGCCTGGATGATGGTGAGCGGCCTAACACAATCATGGCTGCCGTGACACAACCACCATACACTGCAAGTCTAGCAGCATTGCTGACACTGTTAGCCCCACTTTCAATAGACCGTCACCATGTGAACAGTGTCACTATGACGTCATCCATACACATTGCCTGCACGAATTTGGTGCTTACGTACTTATGGTACAGTCTGCACCCAGGGTGAGCGATTATACTGAACATACCGGCTGGGGCAGTTGGGAAGTATTCGGACTAATCAGTGCATTCATGAATACACCTTACATGTACCGTAAAGTCTTGTATAAAAGCCGCACTTGAATAGAAGCAGCCCTCGAATAGAAGCCGCAGTTTTGGGCCCATCAAATCACACAAAAGCCTGGTTTTAGTGTTGACATACATAGAAATACCTGTCTTGTATAGAAGCCTGTCTCATATAGAAGCCTGCAAAATTTCACCAAGAAAGTCATAAAAGCCGCGGCTTTTATACAAGACTTTACGGTATATACTGCGAAATTTGCCAGACTCGGCCGTGTGTGTGTGAGGAGTAGATACCGACCCACGGGAGTGGAAACGACGGCGAATCCGAACAGTCTTGCCGTGCCTCATTGGAGAACGCTCACTCCCAGTTTTCTACTAGTCGGCATGATTGCCTCACCATGAAAGAAATATTACCGTGAAAATCCGTAAATAATTACGCACTTATTCCTACGCCACACCCATGCCCACTTTCGGGGCGGGTACTAACTTTCGTGATGGAACCAATTTTCGGACCCGATTTGTGTATACTATTTACTAGTAGCGGAGAATCATTTTCCCCCGTGCACACTGTAGCATGCGCTCGTACATGTGCATGGCATGATGCAACGCTCTGCATGCACGAACCAGGCCGGTACTTATATCATTCTGGCAGTATGTTTATCAGGCTAAGCTTGACTTCAACAGAGTCGAAAGAACGGAGGGGTACTTATTTCGGGAACGTACTTATTTACAGACCTTAAAACGGTAGTCCAGTGTCAGTGGCTTTCACACAATTGTATCATGCCATTGTGTACGGTGGTGAGAGCCAAAGACACTTTACAATGAGTAGGTATGACTGTGTGTTAATGGACCGGTAGTAGTACATGCATCCAGAGCTTCAAAACAACCCAATCTCCTACCTCGTATAAGTCGCAGTTAGAGAGGTCGAAAGCATTCCCAGGCCCATCCTTGCCTGCGTAAAGCTGCTGCTCGGTCTTCTTTTTACCCTCTTTACCTTGTTTTCTGAACAAGAAAGACATTTCCCACGTGGAGTTTGAAAATGGGTCTGAATTTATTTCATACTTTTGAAAATTCAAACTTCTTGCTTGAGCTGAGGCGAGCTAGCTAGCTGCACGCACTAATCAAAGCAGAAATGTGTCCAGCTACTACTGTAGTATAAAATGTGAGAATTGCCAAAAGTTTCTTCTTTGCCTTTCCGCAGTCGTTTGCTTTTCACCAGAGAGAGATCTGGAGATCGTCTTCAAAGTCATCATCGACGACTCGACGAGCTCACTTTACTAGTTTAGTATTCAAATCACGTGTACATACGTGATACTTCATGCATGACGATGATACAGTGCTACTGCCGTACTGGATGGCCATATTATTGACGTCACCACAATTCCTATGACATCACTGCATGTCTGGCGACAGACGCACCGTGCAGTAGCAGCGCACAGGCTTCGAAGCCGAAGGCCGCGGCGCGGGATAGTCCGCGGAGCGGTCCGTAGCGTGTATGCAGCTCGGTACACGATTTGAACGCACCCTTTTAATAATAGTAAAACGCGCGAAATCAGCCAAAAAATATTTTATTGACAGTTTGATCATAACAATGTGACGTGGCATGAAGCTTTCTAACCACGTGCCCGATTTTCAACGTCGCTGATTGGCTAAGAGTTTCGCGCCAAGTTTGACTTGGCATTTGCAGCAGAAACTATCGAAGCTGCATCCTACACAAGCAGCAAATTTCACAGCTTCATCATTCTCAGTTCAAATGAACTAGACACCAGGCAGTCGATTTGGATCTTCTTGTTCTTGTCTTCTGATTTTCCTGTACCAGGACTATGGATTTCGAAACCAGTACTTATGGCGAATCATCTGCCACAAGATCATGGTACGACATGGTGGTGGAAGAAGAAGACCATTTCGACAGGGACGCCCAACTACCAGAATCGACCTACCCGATTATTCCTCGTCAATCCAACGAAGAAATCCGTCCCAGCTCTCTTGATTTTGAGTTCACGCAATCAGAAAAAGATCAGTGCCAACCTCTTACCAGTACTCCCCGCAGGAGCCATCACAATTCCAGGAGAAGAAACACCTCCAATTCCCGTCAGAGCACTCCATCGTCGTCCAGGCGAGATCATCACAAGGAAAACGTGAGTCCAGTCAGCGATCAATCCTCACCTCATGGTGTGAGACGAAGCCGTCGTGACCAACGTCCACGCAGCAGCGGGGGCAGAAACTCAGGTCATTCCCGTGGAGATACCACACCCAACCGCGGTAGCAGAAGTCCATTGCGCAGGCCACTCGGCGAAAGGCAGAGCCCGGCCCCATCTCGCAAAACGTCCGACTCGTGGGCTCAACTTGTAGCTGGTGTCAGTCCGAAATCCCATCCCGTTCGCGCAACACCGATCTTGCCATCCAGTTCTGCCGACGTAGGCTTGGAACGCAATTTAGACAAGGAGTTTTCCAGCACTTCAGTCGACGAGCGAGAGCAAGGCCCCGCATCTTTGAACGACACTCTAAGCGAACTTGACCTGTCCTACGGCTTTGAGGACAGCATGTGCTTGACGGACGATATCTCTTTCAGGTATGTGTTACTATGCTAGATGGGCCTTTGAGCAATGCTTTATTTATCCTTGTTTCGTTTCAGTTCAGAATGTCTTTCTCCCGGACCACTTGTGTCTCACTCCACGTTTTTGCACCTGCATGCGTGCTTTCAAATTTGCCGCCAAATGAGGCGCGGCATCATATTTGGAGTCAGTTTGCAGGATATTCGGAAGGACGGTAGTTTTCATTCTGTTTTCCGAGGGGATGTTATGTTGTTCAATTTGTTGTGATGAATAGCGCAAGGACTTCAACCCCCAGTGGAAGTGTTCCTTCGACTAGCGGCTTGGACTCTCCCCGATCGTAAGTCCTACGGCTTTGTGTGCGTTTTTCACTTCTGTTATTCATGATGTTGGCTCGGCAATAGTTTACCCATTTTGGTCCTCATCGATAGCATTTCAGTAGTCCCTTAGTAACCCCAGCACCATGATTTATAGGACGGGAAGTCTTCTGGGTCGTCTGATTTACGGTTGCAATTTGCAAGCATGGGAGGTTTGGGTTATTGAAATATAATATATTGAGATATCTGTGTGCTAGGTAAATTATTTCTTCCTGAAAAGGGGTCGATCTGTGACGTCTGCTCTAGACTGTTTTCATCATGTGTACAGTTGTGGCAAGTGAAATCCAACGCTTGGCATAATGGGGTATTCACACGACAGGCACTTGCACCTTTTACAAGGAGTGACATACGAGAAAAGTGACTGTGGATTCACACAGCTGCACTCAACGACAGGCACGTTTGCATTTTTGAATGCTTCACCAACCAGTAGCCATGGGTATTTCAAATTTTCAAAACACACATACAATTATTGTCATGCTCTAAAGAGCCGCGTAAAAAATTAAGTCTTGTTTCGTGCTTTTTGGTGTAAATGTACTCGTGCACGCCACGATTATCGTGAAAGTGGGCCCCCAGCTCGCTTTCACTTTTCAGCCGCTTCCAGGCACTTTTCTCGTTCACAGGTAAAATACCATAGCAACTTTCCGGTGCACGTGGATTTGCCTGTCGTGTGAATACCCCATTAGGGACTGCGCCATGTAGTCTGCAGCCCTGCATACGTATACAGTACATGTGTTCCATCAACTTTATCTGTTTCATGACAAAACTCGTACTCATCACAGTCAGAGTTCAAAAAGGTGCTGGCAAAAATGAATGGAGATTGGATACCAATACTCCTTATGTGTACCATATTTGCGAACTGCGTGTATCTACGCTGTGACCTTTTGATCTGTTTTGGATGCATACGGCTCGATAGTACAAATTAGGTGCAGTGCACTACATCATTGGTGTCCATTTGTGCCGCTGTCCCCCATGGCAAGTGTCGGATTTCACTTGCCACGGCTGTATATTCTTAGACCGTGCTTTTAGTGAACTCGTCCTTCCAGAAAGAGGTGCGGATTTTCATGCAAACCGTGTAATGGGATTTGCACAAATACCATAGCTGACGAGGCTCCACGTGACGGTGTGCATGTTTGTCCGTTTTTGTTTTTACTGTACATCAACAAATATTTGAACCTCGGGTATTGAGCCAATAATAAAAGTAGAAAGGAAAAGGACATATGGCAAAGAATTAAGAGTAACTCTCCACCACTGTAACTAGATACTATATACAGTCAGAAAGTGCAACAACTAGGCACAAAACTGACAGAGTACTGAGACACTGAGTTTTGTGCCTAGTTGCACTTTCTGACTGTATATTATAGTATCTAGTTACAGTGGTGGAGAGTTACTCTTAACTCGTTTCCATATGTCCTTTTCCTTTCAACAAATATTTGGCGCCTATTTATTTTTGGCCGAAAATTTGTTTTGCTAGGTGCACTAAGACAGTCTACAGGCAGCAGCAGTGCAGGCAGCGATTTTACTGTGGCCGAAATGTGTTTGTAGGGGCCGAAATTGAATTGCTGGTGAAAAGTGCAAGAGTGTGAAACTCTACTTTAGGTGCTGTCCCGACAGCATTTCATGTTGAGGTCATGCATTGGGCATTGTACGCGTATCATAAAATGTATCCTAGACTTGTGGTTGACAATTTTATCCTGTACGGATTCGTTCGAGGAGGCGTGTATGATGCGTCGACGGCCCCCGTACAAACATCGTAAACCACCTTTGAGCATTGCATCATAGGCATGACGTCAACTTGAAATACTGTCAGGACAGCAGGGTATTCGGGAGATGCACGCTCTTCGGGGTACTGCCCAGGTGTGTGTAGTATGGTCGCACAGACTGGCCGGTCCGCTTATTCCAACATGCTTTGTTTGTGCTCTCCAGTCGCAGCCGTTCGCCAGCTTCAGTGCCTTCAGCGTCTTTGCCAACCAGGCGTGCCACCGCCACTCTCAAGCGTTCCACGAGTGAGCCAGGCGACATCGAGTCCGGCCACCGGTACGTAGCTAACGGTTCGGATGTGATTCTGAATCTCTACTAAGTCTTATGTCTTATATTACATGCTGGGTTCCCTTTTTCGGATTTGATGTCATATTAGGACAGTGTGCCTTTATATGTATGGCCCACTAAGTGAGATTTACCACCTTAACCTTACCGTTCGCTACTGCATCTGCCACCAGGATGTAATCAGGCAGGGTGGTGAGCTTTACTTTTATATTTTACTACTGAGACCTTGGCATACTGCTGGGACAGTTCACTGGACCTAGTCAATCATGGACTCTGTTCTGGACAATCGTGCCAAGACATCACCATCCCGTATTTGGGATCGCCTGGGATTTGGGTGTCTTGACATTTACCTTCTTCGAAGAGGACTTTATGTTATTCTCTGCGTTCTTTTCTCGTTTCCGCAAGGTTGTCCTGTATCGTGTGATGTTTTCTTGTGTTGTGCAGTTCGTCGAAGAGACCCTGCTATCTTCCAACGCTTGACGACCCGCACCGCCTTGCTCAGCGCCAGAAGCAGATTGACTTTGGCAAGAACACGATCGGTTACGACATCTACACCAGCACTGTCACCCGTTCGGAGCGCGGTCCCGGCATGCCACGCACACCGGACAAGCGTCTCAACTGCAGCAAGCGTCAATTTGACGGCCTCCTGAAGAGCTGGCGCCGACAGCTGCATACGTACGACCCAGACTACACAGTCAAGACCGGCTCGCAAAGCTTGTAAGTGCTGGTCCTTGGTTCTTTCTGTTGTTTTTGCCTGTGACTACATACCTGCACCATTATAGAGCTGTTGGAGCCCCGTTAGTCCCACGTCCGCTCGTCCCTAGCATCAATTGCTCTTGTGATATCTGTCATATCTAGAGTTTGTAAGCTCCCACTTGTGCCACTCCTGATACCTTTTCTGTGGTGTGAGCCAGAGGCGAAATTTCACATCAACTGATATAGTGTTCCCATTGTGCGTTTCCAGCCCGCACTCCCTGGCAGAAGCTCACTGCAGGTATCCGGCTCCCCGGCATCATCTTGGGAGATATTCGGATTGTGCGCACGCTATCCTTTGTTGCACATAGTGCAAAGCGTGCGCGAGACACGTGATGTGGGTTCTCACCGTCAGATACCCCATAGGCAGAGTTGCACACTCTTGGGAGCTTTTTCACTCTTTGTCATAGTAGTTCCACTACACGAATTTAGTCGCACGGCCGAAAACGTGGTGTCTCTCTTTTGTTATTCACTAGTTGGTTAGACAGGGGGGCGCTATTCTTACTCTACAGGCAGAGAATTTCGTCGGTCAATAATTTCGTCCAACTTCAAAGAAAGGGATTTTGTCCGGTTGACAACTTAGTCCATGGACTGTAATAGTATATTGAAATGCTGGACAAATCGACATTCGTCCGGCGCCTAATTTAGTCCCAAAGCTCCTTCGACGAAAAAGACTAAATTAAATTCCAGACAAATATTTCTGCTTGTACAGCTGTAAGAGCTGCATGTGCCTTGGCTTCTATTCCCTTTCTCCAGTTTCTGGTTGCGTGTAGAGTGGTTAGCTCTTGCCGTTCTGACTGCTTGCTTGCTTGTTGTATGTGTGTTTGTCGTTCCCGTGTCCAGTGCTGATTTGTCAGACTCTGCCCTTGGTCAGAGTGTGCTCACCGAAGCAAGCCTATCCCCGTCCTCTTCGCCGACCAAGTGCCCCGGATCTCCGTCTGCCGCCAAGAAGCTCCGCGACCTCGACTTCTCTCTCGATGCTGGCGTTTCCCAGAGCATGCTCAGTGCGTAAGTAGCTGGCCTGCCCATTCCTGCCGCCTTCCTTCAGGTTATCATATTCAACTTCTCTAGCTTAAGTGTCTTCAAGCTTTCATTCTTACTTTCCTCGCTGTAGGTAGTGAGGCTTCCCATAGGTCCGTCGTGTCAATGATATGTATCCTCGTGCTTTTGAAGTCTCCTCATTTCCTTCGAACTCTGTGTCTGTCATGGATGCTTTCTCTGAGTGGTTCGCGTAATCCACTCTCTCATCATATGCTTGGTGTTCTTTGATCCTATGCGCATTTCTCTTCCAGTAGTGACTTCAAATATTTAGGTTGCTGCTTGGTGTTAATAATTTCCTTGGTTTTACTGTCTGCTCTCTTGCTTCGATGTTCAACTAAAAAAAACTCAACGAAAGTAATTACACTGGAAAGTATTTAGGTCAGTACTGTGCTTCTTGCCTTTGAACGCAGTGCTGTTCTGTTTTTCATGCAATGGATTTGTCTTCAGAAATAAAAATGGCCCGTGTTTATTTTAACAACTCTAAACCTTTCCTTGTGTTGCGTGTGCGTACTGCTCTGTGTCGTGTGTGTTTGTCTGTGTCTTGAGAGAAGAGTCATGCGATCTCTTTGTGTTGCCATTGCATTGCACGTTTGTTTTTCTTCTGAAGTTATATCCTGGTCTGAACATACATACGTTGTTTCAATGTTTGCAAGGAAATAGGGCTCTCCGGGGCTATTGCTTTTGCGAGACAAATAGATTTTGAACCCCCACCCTTTCTCCAGGTACTCTTGATAAAACCCAATCCACCAAACGAAAACATTAATTTTCGTTTTTGCTGTCCCGGATCCCCTTGGAGAAACGCGATACATTCTGCGATTTTCGTGGGTTTCCGTTAATCTAGCATTTTCCGTGGAAAACGTGGAACTTTCTTCATTTTGCCTCAATTTTCAGTGAATCCGTGAGCCCATGCCATGGGCGCCCTGTACTCGTACAGACTTTCATGCATGACAGACTTTCATGCATGGTGTGTTCTGTGCGCTTGGCTATGTGAACTTTTGGCCCCAGGGCCGAATTTTGCCATCGCACTGTTCTTCACGCTCGAAATTCCTTGCTAGATCCTCTGTTCACGTGTTTGTGCATGTGGTCCATATTAAAACCAGATAACTATCGTTGCAAGATACTGCATTTTCCGCAAATTTACTACATGTATATCTGGCCCACATTTTTCACTCTTTTCGCCCGCAAATTTCTGATTTTTTCCCGTGATTTTCCAGGGGACAGGTATTTTTGGTCCTAACTAAACTTTTTCGTTTCGTGAAACTATCGATAATCCGGGATGATCCCAGAGCCCCACCGGTGCACCATTCGTAATGGATCATATCCCAAATGCTGCCAGAAACCTAATACATCATCCTAAACATGTAGGCTCTGGTGTTCTTCTGCATGCGACTACTCTACATAGCTACGCTTTCGATTACACGCAGTTCGGTCAATTCTAGAATTAGTTATTGTTGATGCACAGTTCGATTACACAAAAAGTGACCCGTCGTTAGAATTGATTTTATCCAATTCCATGAATTCTGAAGAGAGGGCGGAATTTCTCTAATTCTGGCACCAGAATTGCACAGTCGATGTGTTAGGGGTCGTCGCAAAAGTTTTCTGTCGTCCCTGAAACGAACATCGTTCATTTCGTACTCGGACCCCCTCCCCTCCCTCTGAAACGAACATAGCTTGCTATGCTGGACGACGAAAATCGCATGCATGTACATCAGGTACATGTCATATGTACAGTGTCGGTCGACTTGCGATTTTGGCTCGCACCCCCTCCCCCCCAAATGAATCATGTTCGTTTCAGGGACGACAAAAAACTTTTGCGACGACCCCTTAACCGGTCTGGTCATGACTCAAGCGCGCGAAGAGCCTCCCTGGCCGGCGTGTGCGCGATGCTGGGTCCACGTGCGAGCGCGCGCGAGGGTGTACGTGATCTCTTTTTACGATTCATCAATTTTGTTTGTGACATGAATAAAATGCGTTATGAATTCCAGTCGTTCGTTTACAAGGCCGGACTCCGCTCATTCTGGTCATTCCAGAATTTAAAAAAAAACAGTTCCAGAATTGTGTAAACGTGCAATCGAAAGCGCCCACTGTGAGTGTGGTTGGATCCGGATCCTGGATCATTCACATTTCTGATCCTCCCAGGTCCAATCGAACAAAATACACCGAGGAAATGCTGCCTCATCCGCAAACGAATGGCAATGGTGAACATTGACTCCTTCCACACACAGCCAATAAAGCATAATCAAAACACGGCATAGATCAACCATGGGTTCCTCAAAACAAGAGATACGATTCTAACGTGCTCAATGATGCTCCTAACGTATTTTTTATTGTTCAACTGCGCTCTACTGCATGCGTATGAGAAAGTAAAGACCAAGAATAGAATTCAATAAAAGGGAGTATTGCGTGATAATGCTTCTGCTGCTGATGCTGTTTAGAAGGCAGTGGCTGGAGAGACGTGTGTGGGTGCCCCCTGTGCACCTCCTGAGCAGCCATGCGGAGGTTACACGGCGCAAGCAGCAGCACCTACAGGTCAGCAAGCAATGCCGGGCCGAGCTTGAATCGAAACAGGACAGAATACTATTAAACTGAATGGATCGAAATGGAATCAAAACTGGCGTGATGAAGCACGATAGTGTGCAGAAGCACAGGGCTGAGAAACACACACACACACGTGTAAGTCAACAGCATAGGGTAATCAAAAATGAAAGATGCGGATAACGCACAGCGAAAGAAACGTGACGGACGAGTGGCACACGCCTTCTTACCGTTCGTCAACGGAATAGCACAAACATGCAAGCAAGCAGGCAGACGAGCTGCGGCGGGGAAAGTTCTTACCTCTTGAAGCATTCACACCGGTCGACTTGGGATCGCCGCAGATCGATACGGTGTGTCAATCACTCGATGGCTGAGAGGTTCGTAAATGAGTCACACACACCCTGGTGTTCGATGACCACGACTACTACAACACCTACTACTATCATAGGCTGCTAACTGTGCTCAAAACACAGCATTTGAAAATGTAATAACAACACCACAATGTACAGGATGCCATGTGGGAGTTGTTCAGAGCACGCACACACGTGCAGGTATATTCTATATACGTGCACACAGACACACACACACACACACAGACACAGACACAGACACACACAGACACACACACACACACACACACACACACACACACACACACACACACACACACACACACACACACACACAGGTGTGACTGGGTAGTAGGGATGAGTCTTGGAGTTGAAGGCCTCCATGATGCATTCCACTGGCTATTGGTCCACATTGATGGTCAACCAACTATGATCAGTACTTTGGCAATGGACTGGGAAATGTCGGTGCATGAGGAGACAATGGAGGGGGCATGTTCAATCTCCAGCTGAGTGGCTAGAATGTTTGTCAGTGTCGCTGCTTGCCGCAGAATCCATGTGCCGTGACGAAGTGGCTGCAGCTGGCTCCTCGAAGGATGGCGGCGGTTCAGTGGATCTGGTTGAGTGTCGTGAATGACTAACGCCAGTTGCACTTTGACTCGCGTAGCACAAGTTTGGATCTTCGAACTTATGAAATATGTACTCACGCACAATCTTGTTCTTGCCTGTGAGGGTCGCGTCGTAACAGGCATTGGAGCTCACCAGCTGGTAGCCACTTCTCTCCAGAAGAGTAAAATACTCGCACTTTATGTCCGGGAGGTCCTTCTTCTTGCCAGCCGTCTTCGTGCGGTCAGCCAATCCTAACTTTGAGAACAAAACATTTCCTTGCTGGCTCTCAAAAGAGCCACGAAGCTCCACAGATTGTCCATCCTCGTAAACTATAACGTACGGCATCTTTATTTGCTACTAATTCAACCTAATGATAAACGCTTTCTGCCAAAGGTTCTGGATTCTGTACTGTGGAGAGAAAACCACTGACAACTCCACGTATTGGAGCTGAAGCTTCAAGGAAAGGGGCCACTGGTTAGCACTCGTCACGAGATACTCAGACAGCTCGGCCTACCCAAGTACCCCGGGTTCTTCCTAACTTCCTGTAATGATTCCGGTCGGCTGAGCAAACTCCAGAGGAAGGAAAGAAGTAATCTGCACAGTTCCTGGTATACAGGCAGCTCCAAACAAAAGCTATAGTACGGGGGCCAGGCATCAAAAAAGTGGCTGAAAAAAACTTTCGTTTCCACTTCGTCCGCACAACAATTTGACTGCAGATAATGAAAGCAGTGGCCTTCCTGACACGGAATCAACAAAAAATTGCTTCAAAATGCGAATGGAAGGCCTCCATCGAGTAACTTTTCTCGCACCTGTTCAGCCATTGCCGCTTGTCTCTTGCGCTGAGTTTCTTCTCCGCGCGAGCAGTCACGCAACGGTAAGTTTTCCTCACGGGACTGTCCCGTCCATTGTACGGCGAACTGAGCATAGTCTGCGCTGCGCGAAACACGCATACAGAGTCTAGTCTCACACCTCACGTGCTCAGCGGTCCACGTGGAGTGTCAAGTTTCAAAAGTGAACTCGGATGTGTCGATTCACGTACTACTACTGCGCTTCTTCTCCGTTTTTGCCTTTTTGTACTCTCACGCATAATAGTAAGTAGTTTGTTTTCGGGTGGTGAGGTTCTGGAAAGTCGATGTCACAGGCAGATTGTCCCCAGCGGACAACTCGGCAAAGTCTATCTGTACCAGTTGTAGAGCCAGGGCGAAAGGAGTGCATATTCTGTCAGAAATTTCAGCTGGGAAAGAAGCACAAGTATCAGAAAACTTCGCAGTGCCAGTCACACAACGCTGCCCAGAAAGTGCTAGACGCAGCTAAGTTGCGGAGAGACGAGGCTATTGTAATAGCTATTGGTTCTCAGTCTTGCCTCATAGCACGTGAAGTTCACTACCATTGGCACTGCTTCCGAGAGTACACCAGACTATTGGAGGTCGAGGATCCTGGGGACGACCCTCAGGGAATTGGTGGACAGGCTCCTTCGGAGGAACAAGTAGTTGCCCAGTTTCTTGAGGTCGTGCGTCAAGAATTGTTTGACAATTCTGCACTGCTGACCTCTGCTGATCTCCAGTCCATCTTCCAGACCTGCTGTAACAAGGAAAGTGGCAACTTCTGCACTCAGGTCAGAAATCGAAAACTGAAGAGCATCATTTTGAAAGAGTTTGATGGCCAGCTCGCTGCAACGCCCCTGAATTGTTGTGTGCTGTTAGCTCGACTGACAACTTTATCAGACAGTTTGCACTGCTGAAGGAGGAAGTTGCAGAAGATGAACCCCTAATGCCCGCCGATCCTTATTGCAGTGAGTCTGGGGAGGAGTCTGAGGATGAGTCTGCCAAAGTGGAGAGTAGCCATGTCTGGACCAATGAGTGTGAGGAATGGAGAGTCTTATATCATGCAGCAAACATCCTCCGCCAATCCATCGAGCACCATGTCAAGTCCACGAAGCAAGAACTGAGCGGTGCACGGCTGTCTCCTGAGGATAGCGCGCGATTGATTCCTGA